ACCCCGGGGGCGGGTCACTGCGGGCGCTACCGTATTTGCGGAGCCGCGCAGGCCCTTTCTCCGGGCGGGGAGCGCCGCGCCTCAATTACGTATTTACCCAGGGTGCTCGCCCCCCCGGGCGCCGGGGAGCGAGGGGTGGGTGGCCGTCATCTCCGGGGGAGCGGCGGGGTGCGGCGGGGTGCGGCACCTGGGCGGGAGGCCTTGTTTGCGTGGGGGTGGGGTGGGGTGGCGACGCAGTGTGCCATGTTTCTCCAGGGTCGCTCGGCCCGGAGTTGGCAGGGCTGTGGCGGAGGCGCGGGTGGGTGGGGTCGTCTTTTTTGATGAATGCAGCGCTCTGGTTAGAGCGGCAGTGCCCGAGGCCGTCTTTAGGGGGCGGGAGTCGCACCAGGAGGGCTTCAGTGTTTGCGTTGGGCAGCTAGAGAGCCACACTTGGAGACCGGCAGAACGGGGTGCAGCCTGGCTGTGAGTGTGGGGCAGGTCGCAGGAACTTGGGGGCGACAGCATGGAGCCTTGGACTCTGGCCCGGGTGGGTGGGCCTTGGCCAGGGTGTCGCTGGCGAGGAGGGAGGTTACCCAGGGACACACGGCCGGGCTGGGGCTGGCCTGGGGACTCCGGGGTTCTGCCCTGCAGATGTGAGTGCAGCTGACAGGGAGACTTGGGCCTGCTGCCAGGACTGCCCCTCTCTCCAGGGCGGGTGTCTGGGCCCCCGTCTGCAGATAGCGCCACTGAGGCTGCAGTGGCAGTGAGGTCCCAAGTGTGAGGCCTGTGTGGAGGTCCAGGGGAACAGCCAGCTGGTTTCCCCAGTGCGTGTGTGGGGGCGGGGGGGCTGCAGGGGGCGGTGAGGGACGGCTCTGGAGCAGCCCAGGACCCTGCGGGGGCGAGAGGCCTGGAGTAGGCAGCACACATTGGCAGTGACCCTTTGGGAATTGGGGGCTGGGGGCTGGGGTGGTGGTGGGTGTGCGCTCAGAGTTATTTGTGCAGCAGCCAGTAGCTTGAGAAGAGCTTTCAGGAGTGAGTCAGGAAACCTGAGGCCTAGCCCGGCTCACCTTGCCGTGTGACCTTGGACAAGTGTGTTGACTGCACCGAGCCTCAGTTTCCCCATCTGTAAAGTGGGGCTCAGTAAGCCTGGCCCCTTCCTCAGGGCTGCCATAAAAACAATGGCAACCGTTTCAGAGGAACGGGGAACCCTCGGAAGAGGATCCTCGGGGGCACCGGCTTGGGGGTGTTTGTTGAGCAGGGGGCTGCCTGGCGTGGGTGGGCTTTGCTGAGGGGTGCCAGGGAAATGCAGCCGAGACCACTGGGAACTCAGGCTGCCTCGGCGACTGGCACAGGCCTTCCACAGCCTTATTTTGCTGAACACAGAGCTGCTGCCTTTAATGTTTACCCGAGGCTCCCTTCAGGGTTACCGGGTTTTGTTTTGTTTCTTCTTTTAAGTTTTGCAAAATATCTTCAAACCACTGGTGTCCCCCCTTCCCTCCAGATTGGGGGTGCACTTCCCTAGCTCCCCTTCTTGGGCATCTGACTGGAGAAAGACATTTCCAGGCGCAGGATAACGTAGGGTACTGGGCCCTTGGACATCACCCGCCAGCTCTCGCGTGGGGCTTGGTGCTGGACAGCGGCAGCTGCCATCTCTGCTGGTGGGGTGCGGGGTGGGGGAGCAGAGCGGCCCACAGCAGAGTGATGCGTGAGGAGGGGCCGAGGGTTGGGGGCGGGGCTCGGCTGGGCTGGGGGGTTCAGGGAAGGCTCCCCGAGGAAGCAGCCTGGGCAGCCTGTGGCTGGGGCGGAGGAGAGAGCCTTGGCTTGTACAGAGCTGCAGCGGGGCCTAAGCCAGCGGGAAGCCAGGGCGGACTCCCTCCCTGGGGCCGGCCTGGGGGGTCCTTGGGTCCCCCCTGACCCCTGTCTCTGCTCCTACCTCCCCAGGGCTGGTGACCGCAGCTGGACGTGCCCATGACCGAGCTGGCGTCCTCTGGGGACGGGTCCCCGGCCGGGGACGGGGAGGAGGGCCTGGGGGACGAGCGAGGCCTGGTCATCCACCACCCCGAGGAGCAGCCCCACCGCTGCCCGCTGTGCGGCCAGACCTTCTCGCAGCAGCCCAGCCTGGTGCGGCACCAGAAGGCGCACGCCGGGGCGGGCCGCGCGGCCGCCTTCGTGTGCCCGGAGTGCGGCAAGGCCTTCAGCGTCAAGCACAACCTCGAGGTGCACCAGCGCACCCACACGGGCGAGCGGCCCTTCCCCTGCCCCGAGTGCGGCCGCTGCTTCAGCCTCAAGCAGAACCTG